AAGTAAAATATTTTATCTCCAACGATTTACAGATACATGTCACGTCATGTACCCAAATAGTATTATGGTCCAAATTTTAGACGTGACCGGTTCTCAAAACTACGTCGGGTCTACCGGCAGGTCCTGGGTCAGGTCCATTGCCACCCCTTGCGCCGCGACAGAGCGGGGAGATGGAGAAAGAGCTCAATTGGGTGGCGTCCCATTTTAGTGAGACCTCCAAGCTATACGAGTCTGGTTGAAATTTTCCTAGCAATGGCAATGGCAGGTCCAACGTGTAGAATGATTACCTGTCACAAGCACGAAATTCATCTTTCACCAATTGGATGAAACCATTTTTACGTAATCCATTTCCATCTCCCGCTTCCCACCACTCACCTAAATTGCCCTTGCAGAAAAAATGGGAAAACAAAACTCTTTTAATACAATAACAAAATGGGAAAACATAACTCTTTTAATACAATAACAAAAAAGAAAAGGTTTCTATGCTCCCCTAAACATAGAAGTTCTATCCTCCCCTTATCCAATCATTCATTTTTTAATAGAGGGCTAAGATCGGCTCAAATACAATGTCACGTCTCTACATTGTTTTATTTTTAATTTTTTTTTCTATAAACTGTTTTGACACCAAATTTTGGATGTCCATTCTTCTATTAAACTCGCACTAACGAAAAATATAAAAAAATTATTTTCAATAAAATAAATGACCAAAATACTCTTGAAAGTTTCAAGGGATATTTTGGTCATTATTTTTATCGAAAAATTATTGTTAATATTTTTTATAGGTGCATTCCAATGAGAAGATGGCACGTACCAAATTTCATATTCAAAAAATTTGTATTATAAAATCAAAAAATAAAATACTTTGAGACGTCAGATCTAAGATCAAACAGTGAGTAGCTCTCTTGATAAAAATGGATGGGCAAATGGTAGGGGGAGGATAGAACTTCTATGTTGTAGGGAGAACATAGAAAGCTTTCCCATAACAAAAACCAGGTCGTCGTTTCTATTTGCCCTGCAAAGTTGGTGTCTATGTGCATGCATAGTTAGCAAGTCGGGGAATAATAAAATATTGACATATCAAACTATTGGTAATTAATCAATTTTATTTCAAAAAGTCAGAAAAAGAAATCGGGTCAAAAATACGGATTGCCAAAATATAAGGTAAGCTATAGAATCGTAAATATTTCGGATTTGGTTCAAAAAAACGTAGTGAAAAACTCGGATAGGTAAAGATGACACAAAATAGGATTATGATTTGCAGCTATTGTATAAATATACGAAAATCATTAAACAATAATTTTAGAGCCTTACTAGTGTCGTTAGAGTAACACTTAACAAGTTTTTGTTGAAACTTTCAATAAATTCAGCAACAATGCTTGCTTTGTTGTTACATCACAAAACATATCGTAGATTTATTGGCAGCACAAAATGAAACAATACTAAACACAAGAACTAATTAGCAAATAACAAGAATTGTGAACCAAAGTATAGGGTTATTTTTCAAAGAAAAAAAAAACAAAAACGCCCTCAATATAGGATTGCAGCTATTTAAAAGAAAACACAAAGACCCAAATATGTAAAATAGTGGTCCATCCAAAAAGCTATGTTGTATACACCAATAAAATATAAAAATAAAAAATAAAAAATAAAATTAATCAAACTTTTCTATGCATAAAAAAAGAACAAAATGCTTAAGAAAATTTGAATCTCACACTAAATTTCTAGTTACCTAAATCTTTAGTATCATTGAATTCTCTCTCTTGCTCTTTATAAAGGCGCTATGGATTTGAAGAAAAAATATATATAATTTTTTTGTTATGTTACTCTTCTTCTAATTCTGCCTATTATTTTAAAATATACGATTGTTTTAATTGCTTTTTTTTAGAAATATATTGCTTGTATTTTTCCTACACTTTTTTTAAAGGGAACTCATTGATGAAATGTTTGATGGAATTTTTGTTAAATTAAGATTCTTATTTCTTTTAAACCAAAATTCTATAATATGAAGTTAATAAAGAAATAAAGTTATAGGGAAGAGGTTTTTTAAAAAAAAGATAAAATACGGATTTATATCAGTTCTATTAAAAAAAGGCAAATTTTTTAATATCTTTTGAAAAACTCGAAGTTCTAAACGTATTTCAAAAACTCGTGTCTTAAACGGAGACTTGCTAACTATAAGTGCATGTGTGTGTTTGTCTAATTTGGGGGAAAAAAAAATTCAGACTCCAAATATGAAATCTAAAGTTTGGACTTTAAACAAATAAAATTACATATAGCAGGTAAAAAATGGCTAACTCCAATTAGTTGAAAAAAAGCTTTGACGATTATTGTATATCAGTCCTCTTAAACCCGTGGCTTATAAGGCACTGCTATGATGCCCCAATCTGGCACCAAATTGGATTGGACTAAGGAAGAGTAAGAAATACAACTTAATCTACTAACGCAAGGCTTATAATTCTTGCTTTTGAGCCATATTTTATGAGCTAAGGGTCGGAACTACAGCAACACAAGAACATGCTGCTGGCGTCTTTTGCATGAATCCTTCAAGAACGGTACCAAATGAGGCGTAATGGCCCTTAAATTTTGAGCATAGCGTTTTTGGAGGTTGATCTATATATTAAGATTGTTATAGTGTATTTTCTAGAAATTATGGTAGTCTTTATTTTATTTTGTTATGAGTGATGCAGTGAGATTGTAATTTATAGTTATGTGTAATAAGAAGTTATGGAACTACTAAGTGGTTAGTAGTTATTGTTGTGAGTGGGCGGTTATTGTAGTAAATATGGTTGTAAGAACATCTATTTAAAAATAGGTGTATTGTGGGAAAAATTAGGTCACACGTATTAATGTTAATCTTGAGTATCAAGATTGTAATGTCTTTGTGTACCTTTGGGTCGGATAGTTTAAGGTTAATCTTGGGCATCAAGATTGTAATGCCTTTTGTGTACCTCATGTTTTTTTTTAATAAAAGTTTTTTCTTCCACTTCATCTTGGTTGTTATTTTTCTAACTATTTGGTTGTGAATCTTGAGCTAGTTTGACATTGTTACACTAATTGAGAAATAGATTGTTTCAATATTGTTGCATCCGACTTTCTCTACACTATAATCCCCTTAAATTTCAGCTAGACCTGACACCAATGTTGGCGATTGCTAGGTAATCGAACCCTCTTTTCGGTCTGCCGGGGGCATGGCATTGATAGTGCCTTGGCGATTGCTAGGTAATCGAACCCTTTTTTCGGTCTGCCGGGGGCATGGCATTGATAGTGCCTTAACTGTGGCTCAAGCCTTTAAAAACACTATGCCCTCGAGCATCCGAGATGGGGAATGTCCTTACTTTTGAAGGGTGGTACGAGGATGTCTTGGATTGACCTTTAACGCTTTCTGATAGCATTTTGAGCTGTTTTGATTGGGGTTGAATTGCACTCGTCTCCGTCATTAACAACTCGCCCGAGCGATTGTTCAGTGTCATGCAACATCCCAAACTCGTGATTTTTTTTATTGAGAGGTCATAATACTTCAGAATTCTCGCCATTTCACAGTGATTTGAAATCATTTAGATGGTGTACAGTCGGTGTCGGCAGTTCCAGTATTTGATTCCTTCTCTTTTAAGTGTTTGTTTGCTAATACGGGATCCTGATGTCGATTCCCGGGATTGGATCACATGTTGACAGAATGAGATAGCAACACTAATGTCCAGTCTACTGCTGCATATATGATTGCACTAGATTGATGCCATGTTCCATGTTTTGATGCAAAATATGCCCAAACACTTTCACTTGATTAGGTTTATTTATCGGAAACCACTTGATTCAGACTATTTAAGGATGCCTATTTTCATTATTGGCCAATAAAGATGAGTTAAACCTCCAAATCCTATGAAAGTTGACCTGAAAATATATTTCCAACTGTGATTACGACCTTTAAATCTTTAAAAATAATGCATATTGAGCAGATATATTGACACTGGAAGATCTTGAAAATAAGCATTCTAAATAATTTATTACAAGATATATGATTTAAAAACTATTAGTTTTCATATCCACACATCTTGATATCGTGATGATCACTTGGGGGTCTTTCAACACTGAGACTTTTTTATCAGATTCCTGCTCGGTACAAATTTTTCCTTCTTTAATTTATGAATCATGGCAAATCATATTATTTTCTTTCATTCGGTAGCTCTGTTTTGCAGCGTTTTCTATCTAAACAAGGTCAAGAAAATGGAGGGGACCGAACCTACGGCGAAAGGGCTCTAAGATGGTGAATTTTTCCATTAAAAAAAAAACTTACAAGTTTAGTGGTCGGCCAAAACAAAGCCTTCGGGTGATTTGATTATGAGGGGTGGTAATGGACCCTGACCTGACCAGTGCCCGACAGCTAGACCCGACTTGGGTATGGGTATGAGTCCAAAAATTAGACCCAAGGGTCAGGTCCATGTCCAAATCTTGGACCGGATTACTATTTGGGTCCGGTCCCACATTTTCCACTTTATATTAAAATAGATGCAGTTTGTATTGAGCATCGGCTCTAAACAATCAAAGTACAACCCACCTTTATATAGTGTCGAGAATTGTGCTTTCAATACTGAAAATCTTTTTGATAGCCTTAAAATGTATTTTCATTTTTAATTATAAAATTTAAAGCTTCAAAAATAGTGTAGATCGAGCAGATCTATGAAAATCTTGAAAATTGACAACCCAAAAATGAATTACAAGATACCCTATTTTCATAACTTGAAATCCAGTTTTTTCTCATGTCTATGCATCTTGATGTTGAGATGATCAATTTGAGGTCATTTGGACATCAACAATCTCTTCTAATAAAACTTTTGAGGTGGGGTCTAATTTGATTTTTGAGAACCTCAACTTTATATAAACTTTTTTTTATTAAAATATACTTAAATACATAGATATTTTAATTTTTGGATAAGATCCAACAATGTCCGGTCCGATCAGGTCCATGTCCAAATATGGTTCCCACACAATATTTTTGGGTCTAGGTCCCATAACAGTTTTAGAGTCCAGGTCCAAATATGGTTCCCACACAATATTTTTGGGTCTAGGTCCCATAACAGTTTTAGAGTCCAGGTCCAAATATGGTTCCCACACAATATTTTTGGGTCTGGGTCCCATAACAGTTTTAAAGTCCAGGTCCGGCCGGCCCCGACCTGACCCTGCCACCCCTAAAATAATTGATTGGGGGTACTCCCAAGTTTTTCCAAACCATGTCACTTTTTAGCTTGAACCATCATCGTACACCAGAAAAGAAAGAACTCGGGACTTTTCTGTAATGCTCTTCTTATCTCTCTCTAGATGCTACACTCGTTTGTTTAGCACACAATCCTTATCATTTGACAAGAAAACCTTCCTCTCTCTCCTGCAAACCTGTTCCCACCCTCACCAATTGCACCAAATCCACGCCCTCCTTCTCACTTCTGGTCTCTCTCACAAAAACTCCCTCTTAACCTTTCTCCTCTCCACCTTTGCTCAATGGGGTCATATGGACTATGCCCACCTTCTCTTTCAACAAATGCACAAGCCCAGGCCCTTTATATGGAACACTCTGATTCGTTCCTACTACAAAACCCACCTCTTTTCTCATGCTCTCTCGCTGTATGACCAAATGCATGTCTCGAATGTTCGCCCTGATGAGTTCACTTTCCCCTTTGTGCTCAAGGCCTGTGCTGGTCTCATTGCTCAAAGGGAAGGATCTCAAGTTCATGCTTTAATTATAAAATATGGGTTTGATTCAGAAGATATAGTTCAAACTGAGCTTATCATCATGTATGTGAGATTTGGTGAATTGGATTTTGCAGAGAGGATGTTTGAAAGAATTCCTAAGAGAGATTTGATATCTTGGAATGCTCTAATTGGGGCTCTTGCGCAAAATGGGCATGCCAATAAGGTACTCGGAATATATACATACATGCTCTCTACCAGAGAAGTGAAGCCCGATTCTCTCACTCTAGTGAGCGCCCTCACTTGCTGTGCTCAATTGGGATCGTTCGAAATAGGGCAAGAAATTGTGCAATACATTCGTTCTCACAATTTTGAATCCAATGTGTATATAAACAATGCGATCATGGACATGTATGGAAAATGTGGGGATGTTAAATCGGCGAGAAAAATGTTCAACAAAATGGATCACAGAAATGTTGTATCATGGAGCACCATGATCGGAGCCTACTCGATGAATGGGTGGAGCATGGAAGCATTGAGCCTTTTCTCTGATATGCGTAAAACCGATGTAGTGCCAAATTATGTAACATTCCTTGGCATTCTTAATGCTTGTAGTCATGGAGGTCTGGTAAAAGAGGGGATGGAGCACTTTGATCTCATGACCAAAGATTACAGGATTGAACCAAGATTAGAGCACTTTGCATGCATGGTCGATCTGCTTGGGCGATCAGGCCATCTTTATGAGGCGTATGATTTCATAAAAAGCATGTCCATGAAGCCCGATTCTGGTGTGTTTGGTGCTCTATTGAATGCATGTGTAATTCATCGAGATATTGAATTGGCGCAAATATTGCAGACTTACTTTTCGATCTAGAGCCTATGGTTGCTTCTTATTATGTCTTGTTGTCGAATGTATATGCACAAGCAAAGAGATGGAGCGATGTCGAGAAGGTGAGGCGAAGGATGAGAGAGAAGGGCTTGAAGAAGGTGGCAGCTTATAGTTCCATTGAATGGGACGGCAATGTTCATCTTTTCTATGGGGGCGATAAATCACACCCTCAATCTAAAAAGATATATGAAGTTTTGGAGAAGCTGGGGGAGAAGATGAGAAACGCAGGCTATATGCCAAAGACTGAGGTTGTGTTGCATGATGTGGAAGATGAGGAGAAAGAGGTTGCTCTAGGACACCATAGTGAGAAGCTGGCCATGGCGTTTGGATTGATAAATTTGAGCTCTAAGGAACCCATAAGGGTGATAAAGAATTTAAGGATATGTGATGATTGCCACTCTGCTGCTAAGTTCATCTCTAAAATAGAAGGGAGAGAGATCATCTTGAGAGATAAGAACCGTTTCCACCATTTTGTTAATGGGTTATGTTCTTGTAAGGATTTCTGGTAGTCAGGTGCTTGATTCTTCTTTTAACCAACCATAGTATACACCATAATCCATCGGATTAATTCTCCAAAAGGGTCCTCAGCCGTTCCCTCCTGACATTAATGCATGGAGATTAATTGTAACTGGGTAAATATTATGGGGGCCAACCAGCTTCTGCTGATCTGCACTGTCCATCTGTAGAAATGGGTGGTTGATGCCCTCCCAATTGAGGTACACCATAGTGCAATATGTTATAGCTTATAAATCTTAGAATCAATGGGAGTGGGTCCTGGTTTAGTATTCTTCATTAGCGTAGTTGAGAATTTCTTTTTACCAATGAACTGTGAATTTCTCATAAAGGTTTTGAATATATGTAAAGATGGGAGACCAGTAGGTTGTGAGGTGGGAACTAGATGCCTCTGAGCTTATAAATTAATATTCAATTTAATTGAAAGGTTGGTTATTTTGGAGAAAAATTAATTTGGCAAGGAATGGTGAGTCATCTTCTGCTCTGTAGAGCTGACATTGTTTACTCTGTAGTTTATACCAGAGAGCCTTCAATGAGTAGGAGAGAGGTTAAAACTTGAAAACTAACCGAGTTAAAGTATAAATTACGGAAAATATCTCACCCTCAATTTTTAAGTTTCATTTCTCACTAGTTCTAAACTTTTAAAACATATCTTGATGCATGGAGATCCCATGTATTATTTCTTATAACCCCTTGGACCAATTTTATTCAATTTGGCTTTTTTTTTTTTAACCTAAACAAATTTTAAAAGATATGACTTTTATCACGTCTGTTTCTCTGTCTCCAGGTGTTTCCCAAACCCCTCTCTCTCTCTCTCATCCACCAACTCTCTTTCTCCCCCTCTCACTCTCTCTTTGCCAACCTCTCTCTCTCCATGCAACAACAAGCCGTTGATGGCCGACCTCAATCTCCTCTAAAACCCTCTTATTTTTTTTTATAGATTTCATCAATGACAGGGCGCCTCCAACCCCTGCAAAAACCATGAACTTGGCCCCTAATCTCAAGCCAACTATGCCGGGGCTCCTTCCTTTACTCCATTTCCTTCATCTTGGCTCTCACTCTCCCCACTTCTTCCCATCTTTCAGAAAGTTTTTCACACCCCTCAACACAAGATTGGGTATTGCCAACAGTACCCAAAAAAAGTTCAATGTTTGTCTCACCTTGGTGATCCATCTCTGGCTCTCTTTAAATTCTACAATCATGCACAGAGGGGATGTGCATGGGTACTTTATTTATTTGTGATTTTGGTCCCGCCGCTAAACCACTGAGTTAGAGGTTTTTGTGAACTTGTGGGCATGTTTGTTTGGTGGAAGTTTTGGCTTCTAAAGTTGAAATTTTGAAGTTTTCATCTTCATGCAAGGCATAAAAGGGGGTGGATGCCACTCTTTTCCAGACTTGGGCTATGTTTGACAAAACATGATGCCTTTATTCGGATTTTTCAAAAACTCAGAATAAAGACATTGTCGATCTACTATACATCTGAATATTCGTTATCCTATTTTTGGTGCATATTTGACAGTAAATTTCTACATGAAATATTTAATTGTCTAGAAAAAAAAAAAGAGAGGGAAGACACGATCGACAATTTCTCCAAGAGTTCGATGAATACATCTTTGGAGAATGGGGAGAAGGACGAGAATAATGAAACCATCATTCAAGTGCTTCCTGACACTCTCAGCGTCTAAAATTTGATCTGAAGGTTTCATTTTCACCCTCTCCTCTCCTTCAAGTGATGGAGAAATAGATAGAATGATGCCCCTTCAATATCCCCAAAATCTCAACTCAGCTCTGAATTTTTAGGGATGACATTTGGATACAATTTGATCCTATCAAAACAGGGCTGACCAGTAGAATTTTAATAGATGCTGCAATGTTCTAAAAAATCAAGCCGTTAGATTGATACCAAACATACATACAAAAAAAGTTAAAAAATTTCCCAAAGCCAAAATATTTTATGCTCCTGCCAAGAGCATATTTACATCAGTGCCACCTTCAACAGACAGGATGAAATAGGAGGCACACTAATAAGCCTCTTGCTCTTTTTTCTGCTGAGTGTTCTCTTGCCTGTTGCTCTTTGTAGAGAGAGAGAGGCAATAACCAGAACCATCGAAAAGAGCATGAAAAGCAGCGACTTACTCCCAGCACAAAGAGAATAGAATCAAGGCATAAGGAAACCCAACCCCTCACTTGAAGGTTGAAGCCAACAAAAAAATACTAAACAAACATGTCACGTGGGGAGCACCCTTATTTTGCTCACAACAGGTCAGCAAAATTCAATCACAAACAGTAAAAATCTCAACAGCTCACATCATGCAAAAGGAACCTTTATCCATGCCCAACTATCAACACAAATAAACTACTAAAAAAGACCATCAAAAACCATCATTGGTGCCCCCTCTTCTACTAAAAATTCAATCCTCTCTCTCTCTCTCTCTCTCTCTCTATATATATATATATATATATTGT